CCTGCCAGGCAGCAGTTATAGGATGCAGATACAGGAAAGGCAGGCCCATTCTGTTTTCTCATCTAGCCAGTGACTGTAAGCATGATCAAAGAAACAGCCAGTTAAGACTTGTGGTGGTTTGTATGAGCTTGGTTCAGTTGTCTCCGAAGATTGCCCCATCGTGATCTTGGGTCTGTTTAAGCGGCCCCTGGCAGCGGGATCAGGATCTATCCCTGGTGCATGAGCTGGCTTTCTGGAGCCCATTACCTATAGACTGACACCTTGCTCACCCTTGATGCAGGGGGGAGGGGCTTGGTCCTGCCTCAACTGAATGTACCAGGCTTTGCTGTCCCCCCCCCCCCGCCCCCGCCCCCGTCAACATGGGAGGACTTACCCTTTTGGAGGAGGGAATGGGAGTGGGTTGGAGGGGAAGGGGGGAATGCAAGAGGAGGGATGAGAGGGGGATCTGTGGTTGGTATGCAAAATGAATTTTTAAAAAAAATTTTAAATAAAAATAAAAAGTCTTGTGGTTTGAATAAGAATGGCCCCCAAAAGCTCATATATTTGGATGCTTAGTGAGTGGCAGGGGTGTATTTGAAAGGATTAGTAGGTGTGACCTTGTTGGAGGAAATATGTCACTGGGGGTGTCTTTGAGGTCTCAGAAGCCAGAGCCAGGCCCAGTTTCTCACTGCTCCTTCCTGCTGCCTGTGGATCTAGATGTAGAACTCTCAGCTCCTCCAACACCATATCTGTCTAAGTGCAGCCATGCTTCCTGCCATGCTGATAATGGACTAAACCTCTGAAACTGTAAGAAAGCTCCAATAAAACACTTTCCTGGTTAAGAGCTGCCACTGGGGCTGGGCAGTGGTGGTGCACGCCTTTAATCCCAACACTCGGGAGGCAGAGGCAGGCAGATCTCTGTGAGTTCGAGGCCAGCCTGGTCTATGGAGCGAGATCCAGAACAGGCTCCAAAGCTACACAGAGAAACCCTGTCTCAAAAAACAAAACAAAACAAAACAAGAATTGCCATGGTCATGGTGTCTCTTCACAGTAATAGAGCACTAAGATAAGACTCAAAGGCATCCTTTACCTAGCTCTTTCTTCCTTTAGCAAATGGTGATGATCATAAACATTTATTTTCAAAATACTGAGGACAATGTGATTGAGAAGCAACAGAATCTCAGAAAAGTTAAGAGGCTTCTTTAAGGTGGTTCAAAGCTCCATGGGAAAGCCCAGAGTTTGAAAGATTGACCTTTTCACAGTGCACCTGAAAGTTTTGCAGGGACAGAGTGACAACCAGGGCACAGAAGATTCACTTTTCCCTTTGCCCCCAGTACACCATGTGTTTGTAAGAAACGATGGCCAGGGAACTGGGCTTCAGAACGGTGCTCAGTTGCTCACAGAGTCTCTTTAAAAAAGGACTGCAAACTCTGAGCAATCATTTGAAACATACAAGAGTCTTGCACAGAGAATGCTGGAAACTCACGTCTAGAACCACCTGCTGATCTTCATTATTACATTTCCGGTAGCGTGGGTAAGAGACTGGTTAGCCTGCCTTCATTATTTTTTTTTTTTTAAATATTTTCACCTTTTTGACATTGTGCCTCCACGTTCCCAGGGCAGTGAAACTAGGCCACAAGCTATGCCCCTCAAAATATCTCACATGAGCACATTTCTGTATATAACAGCCCCATGTAACATTCCAATGTGATCCAATTTGCTTCTATCGGCTGATGCTGACAAGTAGACACCTCATCCTTCCATCTCACGGTGTTTCTAAAATCTGGTATTGCTCAAACCACAGGTTGCAACACTGTGCCAGTTCGTGCCGTCCCTGGGGATCTGCATTCTCCAAAAGGCAGGGGAAACTGGAAAGGGACAATGTGAGGAAGAGGCCTGCACTGGCATAAAACAAAAATATCAAGGTTTTATCTGGGAGGACATGGTGAACGTGCTCACCCACATGCCAATTGATCACTTCACAAAAGGTAGACCAAGGATCCCTTTATACAGTGCTCTTCACAAAGGTATTCCAAAGTCTACCCAGCTCCAAGAAGGCCATTGACATTTTTAGAAATGGCTTTTATCCCAAAGAAAATACAGAGGTGTACAGAGGGGATCTGCAGGGGAAGGCATTCCTCCTGCAAACCCTCCTGGCCTTCTCTGGTATGTGTGGCACCTCTCCATACTACAAAAATCACACTGGGTACCAAATCCCAGGCATGGCAGCTTTCTGAGGGCCCAGTAATGGTGACAGGAATGCCCACCCAAGGCTTCTTAACGAACACCTGGAGCATGCAGCACTCTCAGTGAGCCTTGCAATAGCAACAGCGGAGGAGTTGATGTCTCTGAGAGAAAACTTACATAAGCAAGTGTCTCCTAGCAAATAAGACTCACTCGAGGAGGCTAATATGAAGGACAAGTTAAGTCCATTGTAGCCCTTACATGTATTTTACTGCTAACTGTGGAAGAAATTGCTTATGACTTATGAACTGAGTAAAGTTTTTACCGTTTTTTAAAAAGTATTTTGTTGTTTTTGCAGCAACTGGTCAGCTAGAATCTCATGCCCCCAGGTAGATAGGTATAGGAAATTTTAAAAGCCGCTTTTCCTTAGTAGCTGGATTTGTTTTTCCTCTTGCAATGCCCCTTCCCTGTTCCTCCAGGAAGAACAGAAGGCTGTCTTTCTCCCCCCTAAGATATAAATGGGGAGAGGAATGCCTTCCCTTGTATTTGAACATCATCTGTACTCTACTGGGGTCACTAGTAATAGTCATATTTTGGAGCTAAAACATAACTCAGTGATACAGCCATGATTTGCATTTGTGGCGAGGCCCTGGGATTCAGTCCAGCATAGAAACAAAACACACACACGATGGTTATTTCTGATGGCCAGGCCAACCTGCAATGAACTGCCATCAGCCTCAGAGACAGGACCATGTGCAGACAGATGAAGTCAGCTAAGAATGCCTTTTTTTCTTCCTAAGGTTAAAACCAAAATGAAACATGCATGAAAATTCTGTACAAAGTAAACATATTACTTTGCTAGGTCATTTAAAAATGAACTGAAAAAGCAATGTAATTTATTATTTTTAACCCATGAATTTGTTGCTTTATTGGCTACTGTATATATATTCATAATTGTATAAGCTTACAGGACACAAAGTGATGCTATGATCTAGCTGTATGATGTGGAATAACTGAATCAAGCTAACTAGCATATCGCTCCCCTCACGTCTCATCCCTTTGGGGGATGGGTTTTGAAGTCTTTATTCAAGCAAGGCCTCCAGTACTCTGAGAAACAAGGAGAGGTCAGGGCATCTCTCTACGTTTCTATACCACTGAAAATTTCTGCAATAGAAAAGTTTGAAATGTTTCCCCGCTCCCTCTGCCCCCATGCCGCAGTACATCCCTACTGAAAAGGGCCAATTAATTTATGAGTACTCTCTGCACAGGCAGGCACTGGGGGCAGGGTGAGAAAGAAGGGCACCTGATCATGTACAGAGCCAAGTTCGCCCTAGCAAAGGGCCAACGTGTTTGAAGGCATGAGGAAAGGAAGCAAAAAAAAAAAAAAAGGTGCTTCCTCACACATCCACAGGCCCCCCACCTGTGGTCTACAACTTCAAAGGGACGGTCAAAGGTACATGCAACTCCTCTGAAAATTCCACTCAGCTTCTTACTCCCTTCCTCCAAACAGACACCAGACTGCTGACGCTACTTTGGCGACCCTATTTTTCCTCTTTCAAACACTTCTCTGCACGCACCCCTGCTGCTCCAGCAGAGAAACCTTTACAGAGAAAAGTTAGCTGGCTCTGAGGTTTGTTAGGAGGCTGTCACCCGACCGACCGTCTCAAGCTGCAGGTCTGTGCAGCTCGCCACCTCCTCTGGGTTAGGGTTCTGACCAAACTCGCTGGTCTGTAGAAGAGGTCCTCACAGACTCACGTCCCACTGACTGATTCTAAACAGAAAAAGAACCCCTCGGTATTTCCCCAACCTACGTCCCTCAAACAGATAAGCGGGGACCACCGTTTGCTGCACCAAAAAACCTGGTGAGGCTATGGAAGGCACAGGCAACCCAGTTCTTGCCCGCAGCGCAGAGGCGCCACCACATCTAACACCGCAGGAGCTTGGTGCGCACCTTAAGTCTGAGGTGCCCCGTGCCTGAGCTTCTGCAGCCAGAAGACCTCACAGGAAATGAGGACTACCAGAAGACCCCTTCCTGTTATCCTTTAGTAAAGCCAAGCGATCGCTGCCTCCACAAAGCTCAAGTGAAGGCTCCCATGCCTAGGGAAGGGTCCTCAGAACAGGCAAATGCCCAAAGCCCTTTCTTAAGGAAAGTGTCCAACTCCATGGGTGGTCCACTCTTTCTCCAGTATATAGAGGGAGAGCGCGAATGAAGTGTAGAAATCACGCTTGGGGACAACAAAATTAGAATCTGAACCCCGTTAGCGCATCTGCTTGCCCCCATCTAGGCGCCAGGACTGGCGGCTCCGAGGCTGCAGACTGTCGCGCTTGCCAGGGGCCGGACAGCTCATAAACCCCGATCTCTTCCTGGTTGGAGGTAAGGGGCTCTAGAAGTCCTGTCCTCCGTCCAGGTAGTACATTGTGCCCCCCACCTCATCTAGATTCTCCTGAATTCTACCTTTCCTTTCCTTTGGCCCTTTCCTTCTCTGTCCCATGAGAATCTCAGTGCCAGCTCCGCGGGTGCCCTGCTCACCAGTCCCTGTTGGACTCAGCTAGGTCGCTCCACGGATTGGTCGTTATCACCGAGGCTGGTGTTCCTGAACCCCAGCCTAGCCCCGAGAGCCTGGCTTCGTCTCACTCAGGACACAGACTCACTAGCTCTAACCGACGTCGCACAGCAGCCCCTTCACGCCGCCTGGGTACCCAAGGTGGCCAGGCGCCAAGGTGCAGCCCGGGCCGATAGTACCGGTTCCTGTCCTCCGCATCTTCCCCTCCAGGCGCCATCTCCCCTCTCACGGGGCGACACTGTGTCTCCCCCACTGCGACCCAACGGGACTTACCGCGGCCGGCACACAGTCGCCTGGTCTGCGAGCTGCGAGGCGGAGCAGGACGCCCGCCTGCGCCAGGGCATCCTCCCGCGCCCGCCGCCCGCTCGCCGCCGCCGCCCACTCCCGCAGCCCCCGGTCTTCCCGCGCCGCTCCGGCGCTTCGGACTTACCTCCGGGACAAGGTGACCCGGCTGGTGCGCCCAGGCGGCCGCCCGCGCGTCTCAGGAGCCGGCGAGCGTGCGGGGCGCGGTGCGGTGCGGAGCCCGCCTCTGCTCCTGGGCTCGTGGCTCTCCGCCTCTGCCCTCCCCTGTGCGCCGCTTCCCCCGCCGCTCCCCTCCCTGGATGGCAGCCAGCGCCCCGGGTTGCCCCGCGCACACGGTTCCCCAGCGCCAGGCGCCGGGCAGCGCCGCCGCCCTAGCCGAGCTGGGTCCTCTTGCCCCCCGGGAGCAGAAAGGGCGCGGGTTGAGCAAGGGGTGACCCGGAGTGCGCCGCTCCGCTCTATTGGGTTCACCGAGCCTGGCGACTTGCGTGCGGGAGGAGGCGGCCGCGGGACCCGGGGGAGGAAGAAGAGGAGGAGGAGAGGGAGCAGCCGTGCGCGAAGGTGGCCGCCAACTTTGCCCCAGGCCAGCCGTGCCCTCGTCAGTGATAACGGCTGGCTGGTGGCCTGGGGCGGGTGTCTGGAAACATTGGGGCGACAGAGGCTGGGGGGAGGGGGACTGCCAGTGGGGACTAGGAGGACAGGAATTAGTCTCCGACTGTGGAAATGATGGCTTCCCTTGGTCCTAAAAGGCCTCCCTAGGCTCCAGGTCGACTGGAGGTTCAAAAGAACCCACTCTGTAGGTCCAGAGAAAGCCCAAGTCCTGACCAGCGGAACCAGAATTAAAGACAGAGGCGGGCGATCGTGAAGTCCATACTCTGAGACTCAGCCTGCAGCCCGGACCTAGAATTGGTGTAGGTGCACTGCGGGTGGCCTGAGAGTAAAGAAACTGGGGCTGGGGGTGGGGCAGAGTGGTGGCTTGGAGTAGGTCGAGGGGAGCCCTAGGAGAGCCGCCTACTGAGACAATCTACATTTCAAACGTTGAGGGAATCAAGCGCGAGTGGGTGTGTTTTCGTTATAGATTTAACAGAGAAGGAACCAGAAAATTTGCCAAAAACCGGATCAAAAGTTGTTTTGTCTGTGCGACCCCCTTTCACCAATAGTGGAAGACTCTCTCTACTTCAGCTCAGTCAAATCCAGGCTTTTGTCCTGGGGGAGTGGACGCTGCTTATCCCCTAGTGGTTCCTTGGTTTTATAGCTTTCTTAGACAGAGAGCCCGCCCCCTGCCTGAAAACCAAGTTTTTGCCCCAGAAACCGTTGCATCTAGCCAAGTGAGCCCTCCGCAGCCCTTGGCTTCCACGGACCCTCAGCAGTTTGTAGGGAATAATCAAATGTAAGTGACATGGGAAGGAGGCTGAGCTGATTAATTGACCCAGGTGTGTTCACAGCAGCTCCTTGCTTGAGTTCACCTGAAGGTTTTTACATCTAAATATCGCATTCATTCCCAACTCTGCAGCAGCTAGGCGCCTGCCTGGCTTGCTTCCACCGATTGCTCTTAGCTGTGGACAGGCTGTTATCTGGGATGGCCTGAAAAGGACACTATGAGTGTCTCCCCCCCCCCCCCCCCCCCCCATTGAGCAGCTCTTAAATTGAAGGAAAATGTCAACCCTGCCTCTGTAAAAACACCTTACAGTCTCTGGTCCCTTCCTGAAAGGAATATTCTCTCCTCTCCTCTGAAGTGCTAGGCTGAGCATATATCGTTAGACCCATGGAGGTGAAGAATCAGCATTGCTGTTTGTCAGTTGAAGAAACTGAGGCTTCCCATGAAACATGGCTCCCAGACTGTATGAGACACCTGCAACTATCCTTCATTTTCTATATTTAAGGCAGTGTTTTCTTGATAGCCAGTCTTTAGGCTGGCTTTAGAGGTACGATTAGTTATGTCAGAGCACCTGCTTGGTTTACAACTGCTTGCATTTTAAAATAGAATTTCCCTGATATAGCAGGCAAGCAACTTGTGGAATGCAGTATTCAGCCTGACCACAGGTCCCCATTGGCTCTTTTCCCTTCAAACTGAGAGCAGAAGGAAGATGGTACCTTTGCAGTGTCCTTCAGGGTTGAGTCCCTGTGACCTGTCTCCATGAGTTCTAGTGCTGTGAACGGTTTCCAATGGATGCTTTACTAGGCCTTTCCAGGGCATATGAGCACAGAAGTTTATCCACAGATGGACAGTTTTATCTAGCGTTTGGGTTGACTGGATGAATGGTTAGATGGATGGTTGGATAGATAGAAAGAAAGAAAGATAGGTAGGTAGATAGATAAAAAAAATGGTGTGTGTGTGTGTGTGTGTGTTTGGATTTCTGAGAAAAAGGATTTCTAAGACTTTAATTCTCTGCTTTATCCACTTTGCCATTTAATATTTTACTTTCTAATTGTGGAGTGGATGTCCATCTCTCAAAGGATGGCCCCTAAAGTGACTGCATTTTATATTTAGTACAGCTCTTTTTTGGCCACACCCCGTCTTAAGTAAATATTTAGTAATAGTTCCTGACGAATAAACCCACACTGGATTATACTGCCAAAGGTAGAATTCAGAGTAGGGTGCAACTCAGTGGTAGAGCACTTGCCTACCACGTATGCGGCTCTGGGTTCCATCTCCAGTATCACAAAAAGAAAAATCAACATCTACTAAAGAAAATGAGCACTTTGAAAAAAAAATTATACACTATTTATCCCGTGCTGTTCATTTAGCTTCCGGATCCCAGATAGCTGCCATCTCCTCCTGACAGCACCTCCTCAGCACTCACCTGCAAATACACGGAAGCACAGACTCACACATGGTTATGCAATCCAAATGAGCCTTTCATTTTGTTTCAAAAGAAATCTACATTTCTTAGTCAGGAATCATGTGTTAACAGGGAGACCACCTGTTCCTGGCAGATGATAGAACAGTTGATCTGGTATACTAGCACACATGTAGGATAATTTTTCCTACATGCAAAACCCTGGTTGTTGTTCAAAATGTGATCATAGCTTATTTTGCTATAATATAGCAGTGAAATAAAGGCTTTCAAGAAAGTTACTGAAGAGCTGTCACGTATCAGGTTAGAACAGGACACCACAGAAATTGCTAATCTCCCGGAAATTGGCTAACCCTCTCAACAATGCTTATCTCTTAGAGGAGATTACAGAATTCTCAGAGCTTTGAGAGGTGAGTGGGGCCAGTTCCTGTGTTGTGAGGAACTGTCACTCAGGTGCTGAACAAGCTGTCAAGCCTTTGGATGGCAGAGATAGGGGACATGATAAAGAAAACACAGATTTAAGAGGTTTCTTTTTTGTTTTTGTTTTTTGATGAGAGAAAACATTTCTTAGTGTGTATTCAACTAAAAAGCTTTAGAGTTTAGGGTTATAAAGAGTATCATCCCATTCTATGCCACATGTCTAGGTGTCAACAGCATTCATTCAGAAAACATCTTTAGATTGTAGGTAGAAAGGTTCAGCCTCCCCATGCTGACCAAAACGCCAAAGGAGATAAAATCAGATGTACCCAATCCTAAAGCTATGCCACTAAGGTAGGGTTTTTTTTTTTTGTTTGCTTTTCCTCTTTGTTAATATTCTGACCTGCCCCCTTGAAGTCCCCCACCTTGGGGCCGCCCTGTCCTGACACAGAAGCCTCTTCTTAAGGAAAAACTCCGCCTCTCTCTCTCTCTCTCTCTCTCTCTCTCTCTCTCTCTCTCTCTCTCTCTCTCTCTCTCTCTTTCTCTCTCTCCACTCCCACGAGGTGTGCACCCCTCAACCTCTCTCTCTTTTGCCTCTGTCTCTTTCCCTCTTCTCTCCTTCTTTCCTATCTTCTCTCCATCTCTCTATTATAATAAATCATTTCCGTGTGGATGTAGCATCTGGGTTGTAAATGTCCACCAGCCACATCGCCGCCATGCACACATGGAGTGGGTCACCCGCCAGCCTCCAGTGCATCTGCCTTGCATGCCAGTATGTCTCCCTGAACGCTTGGGACACCCTCGGGGTCCCTGTGTAATATATCATTACACTCTTCCTCCAAGATCTGTTATTAAGTTGTTTGTCTTGAGTTTAGGAGATCCAAGAATCAAAAGGTTGGGCTGTCTTGTTAAGGTTACATCTTATTTACTTGGAAGGTAGAAAGATAGCCATTCCAGTGATTGATATGTTAATAAACATGGTGGCTAACCTCTACAGGGGACATAAATGGCTACCAAACACAAAGGGAAAAATTCTAACTCTTAAATAGAAATCTGAGACAATGGTGACATGAAGTTAGGACAGGAAACAAACTGAAATAGAATGTTAGAATGTTAGTTGAATGGGGTTATCATCTAGCCAAATGCCTGGTATCCTAGTTTAAACAGTTACTAAAGAGCTAGGTCTTGGGTGTGGTCAACTTCAGTTTCAGCTCCATAATGGGCCAGGGTCTTCAGAGCTCACTGGTATAGGTCTGCCACAGTAGGAAAGAAAAGCAAGCTCCTTTGCAAGTGCCTTTTCAGGCCCACATCACAGGACCTCGCTGAAGCAGAGCCAGTCACTCAGCCCAGGATCAGAAGAGGGAGAAATGGCCTCCACCTTCTGGTGAAGTCACAGAAGTCACATTGACATTAGAAATGGCATGTTTTGCAGTGGGTCACACCCAGGAATGAGATGAGTTCTTTATATATATATATATATATATATATATATATATATATATATATATATATATATATATATATATATATATGGCTTTTCTCCCCTTCAGTACTGGGAACTGAATCTCAGGCCTTAAGCACTATAGTCCCATACTATCATCCAGCAGCCTTCTTTTCACTTTTGAGGAAGGGTCTCAATATATAGCACAGGTTGACTTGGAACTTTCTATTTAGCACAGGCTGTCTTTAACTTGTATTCTTCCTGTCTCAACCTCCTAAATATATAATTTTACAGACCAGTGTCAACATATTCCAGCTCCATGTTAAATAATTTTGTTTATCTGTTACAGAATTTCACTCTATAGCCCAGGCTGGCCTTAAACTCATTAAGAGTCTCCTGCCTCAGCTTCCAAAATGCTGTGATTAGAGGTGTGAATCCCAC